ATCAGTTGGCTATAAAAAGTATTCAGACGCTGCAGAAAACGGTGACAAATGCCCCAGAGAATTGCTGAGGAACTTGCAATCAATTTAAAGAAAGACCACAGGAACACAGAGGACACAACTTGCAACAGCGGATGAATTTACATTATTATAACGCACAGGCCTGCTCAGGACCCTCCACCAAAGCTGCCTGCAGGCAGGGTCTGGCTCCTTCTGGCAGGAATCACTGCATTATTTCCACCAATCAACTAGTGAACTGAACTATACTCAATGCATATTCTCAAGAGATAGAAAAGCTGTTAGAGGCAAAAAAAAAGGGGGGGGGGCAATTATTAGGCCACAGGTCACTTCTGAAGAGCTTTTCTCTGGCTATGTGACATCAGTGGCCCACACCTATAAATCATTTTGTATTTCCACCTGCTTCCTGCAGCATTGGCACGGCATGTGACTTCTCATTCCAACAAAAGCGTACTTCCTTTTACCTTCACTGCAGCTGAAAACTTCAGGTGAATGAAAACCGTGAGGTCAAAACCAATGCCACCAAAGCGGGACCACAGACCCAACCCGGCCCCACCCCTCCTGCAGAAGCTGCCTGTAACTGCAACCGCTGAAGTCATGACCCGAGACAAGAGTCCACGCAAACCCAAAAATCAAATGCAAGGCTCGTGCTCCCGAGAACTTATAATTACACTCTTCTAGACCAGTCTCAGAACGAGTCGGGTAATTTATCACACGGGTTTCAGAAAGCACACCATTTTCCTACCAGGTATACAATGTACCTCAGGGATTCCACGTCACCTTTTTAGAATTTTCAAGATGTCTATTTAAATAAATGCATATATCTTAGTAAAGGGGTGTATTTGTCATGTCTCTGGAATTGAAAACCTTTTCACTCTCCCATCTCTTTGCTCTAGTGATAAATATGCGTGTTCGGCTAATGTGGCAACCAATTTCGCCCAAGACGACTATCACCGCAGGCAGATCTCGCAGCCAGCCTTGAAGGACGCTGAATTCTACAGTTTCCTCAACCAGCTCTACTGTAGCCTACTTTTGAGTACTGTTATATTAGACTTACTTTTCTGTATTACGTGGCCATATTTTACTTAACATTTCACCTTTATATAACCAAATATGAATGCTTTTGCAAAACTATTCAGCAGCTTAAAAAAGGTTTGGTTGATCTCCACTTCCCTTGACAATAGTTGGGACAGGGCTCACTAGGCCAGCAAGCACGGGGGCAGTGGGGGGGGGGAGGTGCCACGAGCCACGCGATGGGGCCCCGCCGTGGACCAGACAGCTCCCACAGCCCCGCCGGCCAGACCTCTCCGGGGCTCCAAGGGCCGCGGAGGAAATCAAGGTGGTGATGATGTTATGGAAGTTACCGGTGGTGGGGGTGGGGGGGTGGGGGGCACTTCAAATGAAGCTGCCCGGGGAGATGTAAAAGGAAGAAATGTTTATGCTAACTTTGAAGAGCTGGGGGAACAGCATTCTGAGCAGAGGAACCAGCAATGCAGAGCCCTCGGTTTGGCGTGCTGCAGGGAGAGAAGGAAAGCAAGCTCAGCTGGAGCGTGGTGAGACCATAATTATGTCATTCCCTCGGCTGCTCTGGTAGACTCAGCTCCTTCTCAGGTGCGCTTGGGCCACAAACTGCACAGTGTTCGCACGGTCTTACCTCAGTATCCACCCAAGGCACACAGGAACGAGCTACCAGAAACACACAGAGCAATTTTATAGACTCACCCGACTTCTGCTACCCTAGCAAAGGCCTATCCTAAGCCACAGCTCAGTGATGGCCCTGAGCTGTTCCTTATCTTGGTGGCTTTCTTACGCGCCAGGGGGACACGGTGCTCTCAGGAAGCCCCACGGAACCCATTTCAAGTGACTGAAGTTACAGGTGTGGTTTGCGACAATGGTTTGCTCCCTTCCCTTGACCATTTTCAAGATCAAAGTCCTTTATTATTTTAAGAACAATCATATTCGTGAAATGCTGCAGTCATTTTTGGCTACTGAGCAGAATGCCCCATATGATGCAGCATTTGTGATACAAAGGCAGGTATACTGACAGCCACGTGAACAGTCGTGAAGCTGGGTGGGGGTTTATGAACGACCTGCTTCCCTCTCTTGGGGTTTATCTCCATTTCTTGATCTTTCTGCAATGAACATGTATAAAGACTCCCATGTGACAAAAAGAAAAATAGGTAAGCTACTTGGTAATCAAGGCATCTGAACTGAAAGCAGATTCAATGCATCTCTATCATATCCTGAAGTCCTCTCTTATTTTCTTCCTTCTTCCCAACTCAACAACTTTAACAAAAAAATAACAACCAAGCTTTCTGAACAAGGCTCAGGAAAATTGTTACTTAGGATCCTGGGACACAAAACCACCTTTTACATTTGTGTGGTGCCTTCCATTTGCAAAGCCCGTCACACTCATTATTCACCTTTTATAAATGTTTTGCTACTTCCCGATTAAGCTGGGGCAAGTTGGACCGAAGGCAATGCGAAAGAAGGTCCGAAGACCTGGCTTCTGAGTTCCAGCCTTGCCACTCGAGGCACTGAGATGTGGGATACAGCTGAGCCTCAAGTAACCTTCCCTGTAAAGAGGATTAAAAATCCTACTACTAACCTCATGGGACGGTGCGGGAACTGACAATTATGTGAAATTTCCCAAGCCCTTAACCAGGAGCTGGGCAGGTGTCCATTCATTTATTTGTTTATTCCAGGGCATATATCATCACTCTTCCTTTACAGAGCAGGAAACACAGCTGCAGAATTTGGGTGACTTGCCAGTTGATGGAGGCGGAACCAGCCTTTAACCCTGAGTCCAACTGCCTTGCGAGCCTCGGGGGACTCTGAGCATCAGCTGAGAATGAGTCCAGAAGAGCCAAATTCCACATCCCAGACTAGCGTAAGCTCACAGACAGAGCTTTTAGAATGCGCTGAAGTATTACACAGGACAAATAACTGATGGCTTTATTTAAAGGACAACAACCTTGCCTCCCAGATGTTTCACCACCACTGAGGAGACAGGTTTTTTCATAGGACCCCCCGCCCGGGCAGCAGTGGATGGGCCCCATTTTCTTCTGGTCCCCAGAGGTACCTGTCTTGAAGGGGGCAGAGAGGTGAGGGCACACAGAGAACAAGCAGCCCTAAGCCTCTTTACCTGCGAATCCTGCCATCTTGCTCTCCAGAAATCTGAGGCTTAAACCAATTCTCTGAAAGAGGTGGCGTATGAAGCATCACTTCTGCAAAGAGGTTCTTGATCAAGTTCTGCAGATCCTTTCCTCCCCAAATCAAACCGAGCATAGTTTTCCAAGGTGAAAAGGGGCCATCAGAGGTGGGAAGCCATTCCACTCAGGGGTCCATACCTCTGGGCCAAGGCTACTTCCGTCCACAGCAGACACAAGACATTCCCCTCGTGGTGTTCTCCCGCTGTACAGTCCCTCGGCACGGCCTTTCGCACAGAGCTGAATAAACATCTGTGGCATTCATGCAAAAGGCTTTCAGCAAAAGCTTATTGTGGTCCACATCAAG